GTGTTTTTAAGGCCTTTTGTCTTGAAACTGTTGCAAGGCTTTAATTGATGTGGGAGAAGGATTTAACTTATCCTGCAGTTATTTCAACAACAGGGAGCGAACAGCCTGTTATAAACACCATCAACGTTAACTGATTTTGGGTGTTTTGTGCATCTTGTTCATATTGCTACTTTTTGAATGGCTTTCTGATGAACTCTGCGACATGCTTAGAAGGGTTTGTTTAATAAAGAAAAGCTCAAAAAGAGTAAGGTTGGTGAGCCGGACCTCCGACGATCTTGTAAATGTGGAATTGCTTTGATTTTGGATTGTATTGCTCTCATCTTTCCCGGACCGATTTGGTTTGTGCATTTAGGCCACGTCTTGGCAAGCCGATTCCGGTGCTGCTGTGAACTCAGTTGAAAGGCTTTTTTTGTGAAATAAACACTAAGCTGGTTGCAGATCCGGGTGCTGATGCTTCAATATGTGGGATGGCTGCGACAGGTGCAAGTGGCACAAATGCAGTGCGCTATGGTACAATGCTTCATAACATATTGAACCTTCAGGTAAATCCTGGTTATCTGCTCGAGCACTTCAGTTGTGGTGGACCTGGAGGCGCTTACTCAATGCTAAAGCATGACAGAGATTTCCGTTTTAGTACCTTCTAGTAATGTAAAAGGGGCTGCGTTTTGTTTTGTTTGCACATGCGCAGATATCGCTTGTCTGAACAGGCGATTGTGAACTCAGAAGGAGGTCTTCCGTGTCTGCGAAATAGTCTTGCATGTGTCACCTGTGGTAGTTCTATCGGGTGTGAATGCATTTCTCGATAACAGTCGATGTTGTGATTCTAGGAATTCGGGCGACCTTCATAATGTGAGTATGAAGAGAGACTGGAGACATTTCTGTGTGTATTGATAATTGCACAGTAGTTTAGAGCTAAAGCATTGTTGTTGCAGGTTGTTCTACCCAATGGCGAAATATTATACACATCCGGAAAAGGTCGACGAGCAAGGCAAGTTCCATCGCTCTATTTTCCTGTTTGTACATCTGCTGATACTTAACAGACAAGCTTAACGAAGACTAATTTTCAAGCTTAACGAAGACTAATTTTTTTTATGACTAATTTTCTGGAGTGCACGGTTGTGCGTTCCTATCGTATAATGATACTGCAATTAAAATTAGCGTGTTCCGATGCTAATTTTTGGCTGCAACTCGGCCTGCCTGCAGGAAACAAGTATTGCGAGAGGGTGCGAAGAGGTAAGTCTGAATTGTACACCCCTCTCTCCAGTATTATTTATTCATATGATATTTGCCAGGAAGTCAGCGGCGGGTTATAATTTGACGAAGCTGTTTATTGGATCCGAGGGTACGTTGGGAGTGATAACGCAAGCAACAGTACGTTTGCAAGCGAGGCCAGCTGTCTGCAGTGTAGCCATTTGTCCGTTCCCAACGGTCAGTAAAGCAATTGAAGCTGTCGTCGCGACAATACAGTGTTCTGTGCCTATCGCTAAAATAGGTACAGCTTCTTACTTGGTTTCACGGGGTTTTCCGAAGGAAGTTAGAGGTGATGGGAAACAGATGAGGTGTGATGAATACAGAGAATTCAAATAAAATTGCTGGTCAGGTTGTTCCACTTACTTATTGGTGGTGCTGCATGCAAAAGCTGTTCTTGAGACCGC